ACAATTACATCCGCCCCTACTACCGCACCGGAGCGGCACAAGGCCTGGGTGCCGCGGTACTACCGCTCTAGAGGGGCGGTACTACCGTGACACCCAGCGGTACTACCGCTCGTACCTGCGGTACTACCGCAAGTACAGCAGTAGTCGCCAGGCTTCCGCATACCCAAGATAACGAAGGGCAGCTCCAAAGTGCAGGGAAAGGAGGGACAAGTGTACGTGTTGATTCCACCCGAACCTTTCCGGCGCGGATCCCCTCTTAGTAGTACGGCTATCCTACGACTCAACTCCACCAAAGAGAAACGTAGAACAATGCCGACTTCAATAGTCTCCGAGGGGCAATGAATAGTCTTGTGCCTAGTGATGAAGTATCTGAGAGACTCAAGGCACACGATTAGTTCGCAAAAGCATTATCATCAATCACCAAAACACTTAAGGGATAAATATGCCCTTACAAACGGCTGTGCGGAGAAATGGGGAGTGATCGATCACCGTCCGACAAATTTGGCAATCATGGTTGTACATGCTCTTACTGCGCTGAACTGAATGAAAATTGTTCGAACAGAACACCTCCCATGGCAAACTTGATGTTGTTTCGGATCCTTACGTGAAGTGCACATCAGCACATCTCAAATCAGTACTTTTTCTCTTCAACAGCTCTTTAGCTGTCATGATTATCATGCATAGATTGACTTTCCATTACATTTCGTTGTAGCAAGTATTTATGCATTTCTTTTAGCGAGCTTTTCCGGGGTCTTTTTAACAAGTGAGCTAACCCATGGGCGGGGGGACGCATGTTTGTTCTATGTGTCCGGCCCAAAGTGAGAAATAGGAATTGCCCACGACGTACGGTGAATAAACCCGCACCCGCCGATCATTCAGGGTCAGGCCCAGTTCCATTTTTCTCATCTAGCTAGCATGAATTCGTTTTAACTACTGATTTTCTTCTTCAGTTAGTTATGTCTGTCTTTGTAGTTTGGTTTTCTGTTACTTTATTATTTCAGTTTTCTTCATTTTTCTAGTTTTTGCTATTTTTTTCTTACATTTTTTGTTTCTTTTATCTTCATGTATTTTCTTCCCCACTTTTTGTTTTGTCTGTGTTGTCTTTTCCTTCTTATCATCTTTTTGAAAATGACGAACATTGTTTTTAGAGCAATGAACATTCTTTAAATATTCATCTTTATTTTTTGTAATATTTTGAAAAATTGTATGTAAAAAAATGATAAATATAAATGTTTTTTGAACTTTTTAAAAAACTTTAAAACGTTTCCTAAAATCATCAATATTTTTAGAAGTTTCAGATTTTTTTTCGAAATTATGAACATATGAATTTTAATGAATATTTGTAAAATTGACGAAACTATGAAATGGAAATGTTCGGTGCCCCTCTCTATTTATGTAGCTATTGTTTATATCTAGTTTATCTTAATATTTTGTGATGTCCGGTGATGAACTTGATCTTTTGGGTACGATTGTACAAAACTTATCTCCAATCTATGTACGCATGCCATGTTGCTATGTTGATCCATGTAGTTGCATGGATTGTATTGATTTGGAC